ATTTTGTAATGGCCAATCCTTTGTCTTGTCTCTATTGTGCCGCCGTAGATGTTTCCTGCTTTAGGATTGGTTGTCTATTAATAGATTGAATAAGTGTTGTTTTGTTTTGGTTATAAACCGCCGTAATTCACCCAGAGGCCACAATAGGTTTGCCAACACAACAGAATAACACGATGCTAGAAGCGACTTCGTGGCTGGTTGGTTGTCTAGCACTGGGTATTTTGCGAACTCAGTCAAGTTATTGTTTGATACCCGGAAACTTGAATTTTGATGTTACCCGGAAGCTTGGCAATGTATGATACCCGGAAACGTGAGTTTGTATGATACCCCTTAGCTGTGAGCTATGTGGACGTCTCACCTCTAGCTGTTAGCTACGGACCTCTAGTCTCTCCTCTAGCTGTCAGCTATGGACCTCTAGTCACCTCTAGCTGTTAGCCATGGACCTTTAGCATGGCGCCAGGCTACAATATAGGCCAGAGAAAACTTGCAGCCATAGATTGGACTCACCGCTGTTAACGTCAACTTTGTGTTCCGTTATTAAGTTAACAGTTGACACACATCTGGCTTGACCCAGCAACCTTTCAAAATAGGGCAGCCCCATCCCCCTCCCCCCAGTTGTACGGACAACACCCGGATTGAGCCGGAACCTCACGGGAACCACGTGACAACCTTTCGCTGATAACCCGAGCTGAACCAAACCCTAACCCGCCGTGTTTGATGGCACTTACAATCCTAACAATGACCCCAATAGTGATGCTCGCGATCTAACAACTGATAAAAAAGTGAACAAAATATCGACCCAAAAAACGGTTGATTACATGACAGGCAGTATCGATACAAGCGGGGAGGGGAGGGAATCGATGTGTAATGATGGTCCCTGTTGTGAGCCCCACGATTATCTGTCTCCGGGCGTGTCTGTCTGTGTGTACGCCGGGCCCTACCTGCGACTAGTTCGTTATCCGCGTCTTCACGGCTGCCGGCATCGATTTGAATCTGCGCAACCCGGAAAAAAAAAATACCGCCGGTTACCTTGGATTTCAAGAAAATTAATAGTAAAAAAAAAAAAATCACTTTTCTTGAGTTTTAATCGCTTAGCGATTTTTTTTTTCTGAACGTGCGACACGTTGTATGGGTAGAGGCTGGCTGTTTTATAGCCGGGCTGGGGGCGGGGCGTGGACGGCCCTGCGGCAATCGCTAGATTTCTTTTTAATTAACTTAATCACGTCTTTCCCTGCACTTCGGGCATAAGAAGAAAAAAAAACCCATCTCTACTAAATTATCTTTCCATATAAAACCGTACAACTTTGTGTGTTTTATTATTTAGTTCAAGTTAAAAAAAAATTATTTATGTTTTGTATTCGAGCGGGTTTATTTAAAATCATAAAAACACAAGACGACGTTTGCTGAGAGGAGACAGCCATCATTGTTGTCGCGCTACGGATTTCATCGATCTCAAATCGTGAGCACTCCAGTCAGGCCAATCTATTGTGTTCACTCAACCGCGTAGGGTCGGACAAAAAGGGCCCCGTCTTAAACTGTTATTATTTGCTCCGTGTAAAGAGGGCCCCGTCTTAAACTGTTATTATTTGCTCCGTGTAAAGAGGGCCCCATCTTAAACTGTTATTATTTGCTCCGTGTAAAGAGGGCCCCATCTTAAACTGTTATTATTTGCTCCGTGTAAAGAGGGCCCCGTCTTAAACTGTTATTATTTGCTCCGTGTAAAGAGGGCCCCATCTTAAACTGTTATTATTTGCTCCGTGTAAAGAGGGCCCCATCTTAAACTGTTATTATTTGCTCCGTGTAAAGAGGGCCCCGTCTTAAACTGTTATTATTTGCTCCGTGTAAAGAGGGCCCCGTCTTAAACTGTTATTATTTGCTCCGTGTAAAGAGGGCCCCGTCTTAAACTGTTATTATTTGCTCCGTGTAAAGAGGGCCCCGTCTTAAACTGTTATTATTTGCTCCGTGTAAAGAGGGCCCCGTCTTAAACTGTTATTATTTGCTCCGTGTAAAGAGGGCCCCGTCTTAAACTGTTATTATTTGCTCCGTGTAAAGAGGGCCCCGTCTTAAACTGTTATTATTTGCTCCGTGTAAAGAGGGCCCCGTCTTAAACTGTTATTATTTGCTCCGTGTAAAGAGGGCCCCGTCTTAAACTGTTATTATTTGCTCCGTGTAAAGAGGGCCCCATCTTAAACTGTTATTATTTGCTCCGTGTAAAGAGGGCCCCATCTTAAACTGTTATTATTTGCTCCGTGTAAAGAGGGCCCCGTCTTAAACTGTTATTATTTGCTCCGTGTAAAGAGGGCCCCGTCTTAAACTGTTATTATTTGCTCCGTGTAAAGAGGGCCCCGTCTTAAACTGTTATTATTTGCTCCGTGTAAAGAGGGCCCCGTCTTAAACTGTTATTATTTGCTCCGTGTAAAGAGGGCCCCGTCTTAAACTGTTATTATTTGCTCCGTGTAAAGAGGGCCCCATCTTAAACTGTTATTATTTGCTCCGTGTAAAGAGGGCCCCATCTTAAACTGTTATTATTTGCTCCGTGTAAAGAGGGCCCCGTCTTAAACTGTTATTATTTGCTCCGTGTAAAGAGGGCCCCGTCTTAAACTGTTATTATTTGCTCCGTGTAAAGAGGGCCCCGTCTTAAACTGTTATTATTTGCTCCGTGTAAAGAGGGCCCCGTCTTAAACTGTTATTATTTGCTCCGTGTAAAGAGGGCCCCGTCTTAAACTGTTATTATTTGCTCCGTGTAAAGAGGGCCCCGTCTTAAACTGTTATTATTTGCTCCGTGTAAAGAGGGCCCCGTCTTAAACTGTTATTATTTGCTCCGTGTAAAGAGGGCCCCGTCTTAAACTGTTATTATTTGCTCCGTGTAAAGAGGGCCCCGTCTTAAACTGTTATTATTTGCTCCGTGTAAAGAGGGCCCCGTCTTAAACTGTTATTATTTGCTCCGTGTAAAGAGGGCCCCGTCTTAAACTGTTATTATTTGCTCCGTGTAAAGAGGGCCCCGTCATAAACTGTTATTATTTGCTCCGTGTAAAGAGGGCCCCGTCTTAAACTGTTATTATTTGCTCCGTGTAAAGAGGGCCCCGTCATAAACTGTTATTATTTGCTCCGTGTAAAGAGGGCCCCATCTTAAACTGTTATTATTTGCTCCGTCTAGGACCGGACGAAGAGGGCCCCGTCTTTAACTGTTATTATTTGCTCCGCGTAGGGCCCGACAAATAGGGCCCCATCTTAAACTGTTATTATTTGCTTCATGGAGGGCCGGACAAAAAGGGCCCCGTCTTAAACTGTTATTTGCTCCGTGTATGGCCGTACAAAAAGGGCCCCATCTGAAACTGTTATTATTTGCTCCGGGCGACACATCCCCCGTCATTGTTTATGGTCTCCATCTTTAAAAAATGGTTAGGTTTGGTTTGGAGTTGTATGTGTGAAACAGCGTGATGCTGAGTTATATCTGTGTGTGGATGTTTGATGGGAAGCTTGGAGGGACATCAAGTATAGACGGGGTATGAAGTCAAGACATGACGGTAATGTATACGGTAAGGTGGAGTCACTATCGCCTTTGGTTATATTTGACACAATCATCAACCTAGACTCTAGCCATAGCTCCTTCTTTAATTATAAATCTTAGTCTGATCGTTTTACATGTATGGTTTAGCAGAAAAAAATGTCTGAAAAAAATTAGAAATAAATTAATAATTGATGTATCTAAGACATTTGCACACTTTTGTTAACGGTTGTCATGCTATCCTTGTGATATAGAACAGTCCTAATGTAGACAAAGTGCCGCAACGCTTAATACACTTGTTTCACTGCCATAGGTATCGAGGCAGTTCATATAGTTAGCAGCCACAGGTATCGCTGCGGTTCATATAGATAACTGCTATAGGTATCGATATGGTTTTATAGATAACTGCCATAGGTATCGATATGGTTCATATAGATAACTGCTATAGGTATCGATATGGTTCATATAGATAACTGCTATAGGTATCGATATGGTTAGTATAGTTTGACTGATATAGGTATCGACACGGTTCATATAGTTTAATTGCCATAGGTATCGATGCCGTTCATATAGAACTGCCGTAGGTATCGATGCGGCTTATATAGATGCTTAACTGCCATACGATACGGTTCATACAGTTGCTTTACTCTCCATAAGTATCGATACGCTTCTTACCGCTATCTAAATGTCACGAGTATCGACAAGTGCATAGTTTAAAAAAATTGTCCAAGATTTGTTTTCCCCGAGTCCTCACCAAGTTTTTCAAATCAATATCCACCAGGGAGATATTCAAACTTTCGCTTGCTTAACTCCCTTCTCTATTCATGGCTGATTATCTCCCGTGCAGGGAGGTAACCGATGGAAGTAGTTCCATTAGTTGTCTGACTCAACTAGTCGACTTAAACCCAGTCATGCTTGTCTTAAAGCGTCATTGACGTGTATAGCCCTGACAGCTATACATGTACATCTCTGGCGATACAACACCTTCCCTCCCCCCCGTTGATCACGTCACTCCCCCACGTTGATCACGTCACTCCCCCACGTTGATCACGTCACTCCCCCACGTTGATCACGTCACTCCCCCTCCCCGTACGAGTTGTAATCTTGTTTATGTTGTCTAATGTTGTAATCTTGCTTATGTTGTCTAACGTTGTAATCTTGCTTATGTTGTCTAATGTTGTAATCTTGCTTATGTTGTCTAATGTTGTAATCTTGCTTATGTTGTCTAATGTTGTAATCTTGCTTATGTTGTCTAATGTTGTAATCTTGCTTATGTTGTCTAATGTTGTAATCTTGCTTATGTTGTCTAATGTTGTAATCTTGCTTATGTTGTCTAATGTTGTAATCTTGCTTATGTTGTCTAATGTTGTAATCTTGCTTATGTTGTCTAATGTTGTAATCTTGCTTATGTTGTCTAACCCTGCAGGAACTAGACCCTGTGTGCCACCAACTGTACGAGTTGTAATCTTGCTTATGTTGTCTAACCCTCCAGGAACTAGACCCCGTGTGCCACCAACTGTACGAGTTCTACAGATCCAAGGAGGAGAAGCTCCAGCTGTTTGCCCTACAGTTCGCGCCCACCCTCGTCTGGCTCTATCTGCGCTGTCTGAGTCGGAACGAGAAGAAGGTCAGTGTCATCTCTACATGTCATGATGACATCTGTACATGTCATCAGTAAATACCATCTGTACATTTAAATGTCATCTCCAAATAATTATACCTATAAGTTCTTAAAGTAATCTCTATATGCGATCTACTCATGTCATCATGTCAACTCTACATGCCATCTATTCATGTCATCATCTCGTCTCTACATGCGATCTACTCATGTCATCTCCTAAATCTTCTCCACATCACATGTTTTAATTACAATCATAAATTGGTCATAACCTTGAACTTCCGTAGACAGGCTGGATCTTGACAAACTCTGGACAAATGCTGACCACTGGTTCAAACTGGACAAATGCTGACCGCTGGTTCAAACTGGACAAACTGTGGACAAATGCTGACCGCTGGTTAAATCTGGACAAACTCCAGACAAATGCTGACCACTGGTTAAATCTGGACAAACTCTAGACAAATGCTGACCACTGGTTAAATCTGGACAAACTCTAGACAAATGCTGACCGCTTGTTTAATCTTAACAAACTCTAGACAAATGCTGACCGCTTGTTTAATCTTAACAAACTCTAGACAAATGCTGACCGCTTGTTTAATCTTAACAAACTCTAGACAAATGCTGACCGCTTGTTTAATCTTAACAAACTCTAGACAAATGCTGACCGCTTGTTTAATCTTAACAAACTCTAGACAAATGCTGACCGCTTGTTTAATCTTAACAAACTCTAGACAAATGCTGACCGCTTGTTTAATCTTAACAAACTCTAGACAAATGCTGACCGCTTGTTTAATCTTAACAAACTCTAGACAAATGCTGACCGCTGGTTTAATCTGGACAAACCCTCTGAATGCTGCACAGATTGACCTGGTCTAAGTCACTCGCCAAACCGCTCCTCGCAACCCTCCTTTCTCCGCACTCGGCCTAGGAGTCACCGTAACTCCAGACTACACTTCTGACTCCCCTGCCTCTACTGTTGACGGAGTCCATCATATCGACTCCACAATGACGCCAGATTTATGACTTCATCTTTGTTGTCGTGTTGTTATTGTTGTACTATTCCACCCCCCCGCCCCCATTTTCTTACGGATGTCTTCAAGCACCCCACCCCACAGAAATGCCCCCCCCCATCATGTACTCAGTGTATTAAAACCCATCTGTAAATGAGCAGCCTCCCCCCCCCCCCCCCCTCCCCCCAGCCCGTAATGCATTTCCCGTCGGCACCGGACACGCGATCCTGATAATTAACAGAGGGGAAAATAATTAGAAGAAACGCCGTTTCCGGTAATATTTGTATGACGTGAGGTGACGCTGATCCTGGGGGGTGGGGTGTACTGGGGGGGGGGTGTCCCCGACCCCCCTGATCACCTGGTATCGATCTTAAATCAATGAATCTGGTTTGACGAGTGTTTGGGTGTGATTGCCATGCAAGGAACCAGCGCCGGGGTAAACATGCAGGAGACGAGCGTACAAACACGGGGCCGGCGGTCGTTGCAGGACATGCATTATGCACAGGTATTTCCCCGGGTAGGGTTTAAAATCCCGGGGCTGGTGGAGAGAGAGCTGTTAGCAGGTCACGTGATAGCCGCTTGATGTAATGCAGATCTGGTGTTGTGATAAGGGGGTGGGGGTGGGGGGGGGGGCGCCGCGGTGTACAGCGGTATCTGTGACGTGGTCACGTGACGCCCGTGTTGACAGTCGCGGCTAATCAGCTTTGATCAGTGAAGGGGTGGAGATTGTGTGTGTGTGTGGGGGGGGGGTAGCCGGTGCTACTTTCATCAGTGGGGGATGGCTGAGTGGCTGGCGCTACTTGTGCTAGACACTTCCGTGCTACAGGCTGAGATTTTTTTTTCATACTTGTCTCGTCTCTGGCCATCTGTCTATGGCCACTTCCTTGTCTCTGGCCACTTCCTTGTCTCTGGCCACTTCCTTGTCTCTGGCCACTTCCTTGTCTCTGGTCACTTCCTTGTCTCTGGCCACTTCCTTGTCTCTGGTCACTTCCTTGTCTCTGGCCACTTCCTTGTCTCTAGCCCTCTGTCTCTGGCCACTTCCTTGTCTCTGGCCACTTCCTTGTTTCTGGCCACTTCCTTGTCTCTGGCCACTTCCTTGTCTCTGGCCACTTCCTTGTCTCTGGCCACTTCCTTGTCTCTGGCCACTTCCTTGTCTCTGGCCATCTGTCTCTGGCCACTTCCTTGTTTCTGGCCATATGTCTCTGGCCATATGTCTCTGGCCACTTCCTTGTCTCTGGCCATATGTCTCTGGCCACCTGTCTCTGGCCACTTCCTTGTCTCTGGCCATCTGTCTCTGGCCACTTCCTTGTCTCTGGCCACTTCCTTGTCTCTGGCCACTTCCTTGTCTCTGGCCATCTGTCTCTGGCCACTTCCTTGTCTCTGGCCACTTCCTTGTCTCTGGCCATCTGTCTCTGGCCACTTCCTTGTCTCTGGCCACTTCCTTGTCTCTGGCCACTTCCTTGTCTCTGGCCACTTCCTTGTCTCTGGCCACTTCCTTGTCTCTGGCCACTTCCTTGTCTCTGGCCACTTCCTTGTCTCTGGCCACTTCCTTGTCTCTGGCCATATGTCTCTGGCCACTTCCTTGTCTCTGACCCCTTCCTTGTCTCTGGCCACTTCCTTGTCTCTGGCCACTTCCTTGTCTCTGGCCACTTCCTTGTCTCTGGCCACTTCCTTGTCTCTGGCCACTTCCTTGTCTCTGGCCACTTCCTTGTCTCTGGCCACTTCCTTGTCTCTGACCCCTCTCTTGTCACTTATCCCACATTTAGCGCCATGCCCGTTCTCCACCAACAATGCTCAACAGAATGAACGTCACTAACTAAATAAAAATCTAATTAGATCTTATTTCTGCACCCAGATGACCCTCATATCACTCAACTGATCCAACGTTCGCAGCATGAAAGAGAAAACAATGGTGCTCATACACATTTTTTAAATGTTTCAGCATGCTTTTGATGATACGCGTGTTTGATTATTTTGTTGCTGTTTGTTGCTGGTGTTTTATAAGAGTTGTGATGATGTCGATGTTGCTAGTTAGTTATAGTTGTGGTGATGTTGCTGTTGTTTGTTAGAGCTGAAGTAATGTTGCTGCTGATTAAAAGCGGTGTGGTGATGTTGCTGCTGAACTTGTATTAAGATTTGTAAAACGTACGTTTTTACTTCTATCCGTGATTACATATTATATAGGTAAGGAAACGACTGAATTTTGCTATTGTTTTACTACAAAAACAAACATATTATTTACTTAAAGTATGAATCCGTTTCTCCATTATAACAACCACCCCCCCCCCAACCTTCCCTGGTCACCCAGTAAAAAATTAGATCAGCTCTCTACCTAAACCAACCGCTGCAACCACCCAGGCTAAAATTAACACAATCACGTGACATTGTTTACTTGTACTATCTATAAAGAAGATGCACTAAGAAAAAAAGGTTAATTTAAATGTTTTTGTCTGTTGTGTTGACGTTAAGCTGGTCTGGACTGAGACCCAGCGAGCGGCGTCTAGTGAGAAAATATTTTATGTGTTAATAGCTGGGGTAATTGACGGTCAGACTCAATAACAAGTTCTGTAATCATTGGGGTTTTACCGTATTCATGGGATGGTGGGAACGTTGGGTCAGTGGACGGTCAGTGGACGGTCAGACTCAATAACAAGTTCTGTAATCATTAGGGGTTTTACCGTATTCATGGGACGGTTAGAATGTTGGGTCAATGGACGGTTAGAATGGTGGGTCAGTGGACGGTCAGTGGACGGTTAGAATGTTGTGTCAGTGGACGGTTAGAATGTTGGGTCAGTGGACGGTTAGTGTCTGGGTTAATTGACGGTCAGACTCAATAACAAGTTCTGTAATCGTTGGGGGTTTTACCGTATTCATGGGACGGTTAGAATGGTGGCTCAGTGGACGGTTAGAATGTTGGGCCAGTGGACGGTTAGAATGTTGGGTCAGTGGACGGTTAGAATGTTGGGCCAGTGGACGGTTAGAATGTTGGACGGTTAGAATGTTGGGTCAGTGGACGGTTAGAATGTTGGGTCAATGGACGGTTAGAATGGTGGGTCAGTGGACGGTTAGAATGTTGGACGGTTAGAATGTTGGGTCAGTGGACGGTTAGAATGTTGGGCCAGTGGACGGTTAGAATGTTGGACGGTTAGAATGTTGGGTCAGTGGACGGTTAGAATGGTGGGTCAGTGGACGGTTAGAATGTTGGGTCAGTGGACGGTTAGAATGTTGGGTCATTGGACGGTTAGAATGGTGGGTCAGTGGACGGTTAGAATGTTGGGTCATTGGACGGTTAGAATGTTGGGTCAGTGGACGGTTAGAATGTTTGGTCAGTGGACGGTTAGAATGTTGGGTCAGTGGACGGTTAGAATGTTGGGTCAGTGGACGGTTAGAATGTTGGGTCAGTGGACGGTTAGAATGTTGGGTCAGTGGACGGTTAGAATGTTGGGTCAGTGGACGGTTAGAATGTTGGGTCAGTGGACGGTTAGAATGTTGGGTCAGTGGACGGTTAGAATGTTGGGTCAGTGGACGGTTAGATTGTTGGGTCAGTGGACGGTTAGAATGTTAGGTCAGTGGACGGTTAGAGTGTTGGGTCGCTGGACGGTGAGAATGTTGGGTCAGTGGACGGTTAGAATATTGGGTCAGTGGACAGTTAGAATGTTAGGTCAGTGGACGGTTAGAATGTTGGGTCAGTGGACAGTTAGAATGTTAGGTCAGTGGACGGTCAGTGGACGGTTAGAATGTTTGGTCAGTGGACGGTTAGAATGTTGGGTCAGTGGACGGTTAGAATGTTGGGTCAGTGGACGGTTAGAGTTTGGGTCAGTGGACGGTTAGAATGTTGGGTCAGTGGACGGTTAGAATGTTGGGTCAGTGGACGGTTAGAATGTTGGGTCAGTGGACGGTTAGAATGTTGGGTCAGTGGACGGTTAGAATTTTGGGTCAGTGGACGGTTAGAATGTTGGGTCAGTGGACGGTTAGAATGTTTGGTCAGTGGACGGTTAG